GGAAGGCGGAAAACCACAGAGTGGGGGAGAGAGAGCCAGGAAGAAGACTAGCAGACAGGTGGAAGAGGCCACTAAAAGCTTCGGGGCATGGGGAGGATGGAGCAAAGCCTGAGCTTTGAGGGGACGCACCTCGGCCTCGTAGATGAGCAGCGCCACGTGGGTGAGGGTGTACAGGGTCATGTAGACAGACAACTTCACCGAGCCTGAGTGGCTGATGCGGCCCCTGGCGGCAGGCCATGAGGGGAGACAGCAGGGGTGGGAGCCGTCAGAGAGGAGGGGGTAGCCACCCCCTCCCCCAACCCAATCTCTGCCCTGCCCCCCTGCCCAGCCACCCCATCCCCGCCGTGCTCCCTCCCGCCCCAGCGTGGGCACCGTGTCACCGTGAATCCCTTCCCCAGAAGGATCAGCATCAGCAGGAAGATGAGGAAGCTGGAGGAGAAGAGCAGCTTGGCTGGTAGAAGGAGGAGAGGGCAGCTCAGATGCAGGGTTTGGGCTGGGGGAGGAGCCCCACACCCTCCCGGGCCCACTTTTTTCTCACCCAGGATCTTCAGACTCTCATTGCCAATGCCATCCGTGGCATACTGGCCCCAGTAGATGCAGAAAAATAGGAGGCTCAGGACTGAGGGGAGGACAGGCAGCGAGAGGAAAGGACAGACACCGGCTTTAGAGCATCACTCTTCCCCAGCACTGTGATCCAGATGACCAGAGCCCTTCGCTCATCCCCATCAGGATTTAGACTCTCTACTCCTGCTGACCTCCTGGGATACTCTGAAGTCCAGGCCCCCAGCCCCTCCTTCCTCAGACCCAGGGGTACAACCCCCAGCCCTTCCTCCCTCAGACCCAGGGGTCCAACCCCCAGCCCCTCCTCCCTCGGACCCAGGAGTCCAGGCCCCCAGCCCCTCCTCCCTCAGACCCAGGAATCCAGACCCCCAGACCCTCCTCTCTGAGACCCAGGAATCCAGTCCCCAGCTCCTCCTCCCTCAGACCTAAGAATCCAAGCCCCCAGCCCTTCCTTTCTTAGGCCTAGGTATCTGAGCCCTAAGCTCCTCCTCTCATAGAACTTAAAAGTTAAGATACTCTAAACCTTACCCTCCACTCCTGCTGCAGCCATGAACATTTTATAAGTCGTGTGTAGCAGCTGACGACCTTTCAGCAAATCTAGGAGGGGGGTAAAGGAAAGCTGTACACAGACAGGTTGGCTGTCCTCCACCCTGTCCCCCCTCCCCCATCTTCCTTCTCCCCCCTCAATCCGCCCCCACCATGGGCCAGACTCACATCCAAAGTAACAGGAGAGGAGGAAGATGAGGATGAAGATGAGGAGGAAAGTCACATCGGTCTCCAGGATCCCTGCCAATTTGGTGGAAGGAGAAAATCCTGCAGTCAGGAGGGGTCTTCCCTCAACAGGCTCCCAGTTCTAGGTTTCCACCGAGATACTGGGTCCCCACGGGCTCACCAAACTCATCAGCAGAGAAATGCCGTGTCCAGAAGGATTTGCCGTTGGTGAGGACCATGTCATACTCCAGCTGCAGCCCATCTCCCTATGGGGAGTGTGGAGGCCTAAGGAAGGGAGGCGGGCGCAGCCCTGCACAGGGAGGGGGTTGGCAGGAAGGCAAGGAGGAGAAGGCCCCAGTCACTTACGCCACACTTGCTGAGCGCAATGTACCACCACCTTTCACGAACTGAGCGGAAGCTGCGGCCACTGGAACAGCTCAGGTAGCGAGTTCCCTCCTCTGACACCACCTGAGGAGAAATGCAAAGGCTGAAGCCTGCCTGGACCTGGACCTTCAGCACCTGCCCATTCCCCCAGGCCGGGCCCATACCTGACAGCCTGACCAGGCATACTGGGTAGTGAGGTTGATGACCTGGTTGTTCTCTGGCCTGATCACTGACTCCTTGGCCAGGCAGTCCTAGGCGAGGGCAGGGATGCGGTCACTCCTTGGCCAGCTTCAACCTTCTCCCCCCTCCCCTCCACCTTCCTCACAGACTTCACCTTGTCCCCTGCCTTGTACACGGCTGGCCACTGGGATGGGTCATCGAAATAGAGGAGGATGTTCTGACAGCACTTGGCCTGCAGACCCAGAAATGGGGGGGGGGGGGGGGAGCTGGGGTAGCCCTTGCCTTGGGAGGCCAAGGGGGTGTCCAGCCTCAGCATGGTGAGTGGTTGGGGAAGGCTCACCTCAGGGTATCGGAAACGGAAGTCTAGTCGGCCGTAATCCGAGAGGAAGCAAAATCTCGTCAGAAACACCCAGTCCTGGAAAAGGGGCCCACTCAGACCTTCTGAGCCCCTTGAGAACTCTCCTTGATTCCATAGTCCCCCTCTCAACTTTTCCTCCCTACCCTGGAGTTCCTGGTTTCCTAAGAAGCATAAAGGGGACCAGGTCACCTCCAAAATTCTTCTGTTATCCTTTCACCTTGGTTCCAGGATTCCTGCTTTGGATGTCCCCCAAGTTTCTTCCCCTACTTTCAAACACTTCTCCCATTTCCCAGGTGCCAGAGAAAGCCTGGAGGGCCAGATCCCCATCCTGGACATCTTTTGTCACAGACAGACATACATACATACATACATACAGACACACACACACACACACTGGACATCTTTTGTCACAGACACACAAAGACACACACACACACAGTGGTCCCAGAGCCCATCAGATGCTGGGGAGTATTCCAAACGGCCCCCTCCGGGTCCTGAGCAGGAATGTGAACTCAGGCTCTCCTGCAGTGAAAAGTGCTGTCCCTTCAGCACCACCTCGGCGTCCCCCACCCCCACCCCAAACTCTGACTCTCCCAACCCCGCCCCCCTCCTCGCCCAACTCTGACCTCAATGTCCCCCCTACAATTCCTGAGGCTCCTCTCTACCCCCGGGGCCCCCGCAGCCTCAAGCCAGACCCAGTCCCTCATCGCCCCTGGCCCCACGCCCCCAGGCTCTCAGGAACCTTCCGGGAGGGGCGGCAGGGGGCGGGGCGGCACCTCCCCCTCCTCTCCCTCGGGTCCCTCGGGGGCCCGGCGGGTGGCAGGGGAGGGCCGGGCGCGCTCACCTCCTTGGAGCTGAGGTTGCCCCGCACGTACTTGGCCCGGGCGCGGGGGGGCAGCGGCAGCAGCAGGAGCAGCAGCGGCGGCAGCAGGCGGCGCAGAGCGGGCGCGCGCGGGGGCTCCATTCCACCCGCTCCGGCCCCGGCCCCGGCCCCGGCCCGGGTTCCGCTCCCGCTCCCACTCCGGCCGGGCGACGGCGGCGAGAGCGCGCGGGCCGGCTGGCGCGCGGCCCCGATTAAAGGGGCCGCTGGGCAGCGCGCTCCCTGGCTTCTCCTCCGGGATGACCCGGCCAGGCCCCTTCCCAATCGCCGTGGGAGGGGCCGCCCCTTTCCCATCCGCACCACCCCTCTCCAGCCCCAGTACTCCCCTTGGGGTGTCTCCGTGATACCTCAGGCTCCCGGTGTCCTAAAATGAACTCCAATGCATTCCCCCAGTTCGAGCATCCTCCTCCAAGCTGCCATCTCAGGATGACCCACAACCCCCTGGCCCCAGCTCTGTTCTGACCTCCCCTCAGTTTGGCTCCCAAATTGCTCTTTGATTACCCATCCCCGCCCCCATGACAGCCATCACCAGCTGTGGCCACTCCAGATCCCATGCACCCTGTGAAGTTCCTACAGAAACACAGAGGCAGAGTGGGTAAACCACCTGTTCTGGGTCACACAACTCCAAGGTGGTAGAGAGCCCTCAGCCACAACCGCTACACCCTGCTGCCTGACCCTGTTCTATCACTGCTTACCAGGGTGTGAAAATCAGTTGCCGTGAGGCAGAGGGGGTGGTGTTACAAGAAACCCACAAACAGACTCCGAAATCAATTGCTTGGGTTCAAATCCCAGCATTGCCATAACCTTCCTAAAAGACCTCAGCTGAGTCACACCTGTGTGATCTCCCAGCCAGTCCCCTACACCCTGCTACTGACTTTACAGTTTCCCTGTGGGCAATAGGGAGCCCTGGAAAAGCTTTACAGAGTACAGTCCAAGCCCCTCCGCTTCATTTTCCCAATCAGATTCCAACACATGTTTAGCTTCATCCCTCCGCCTCCACTGCAGAAAATTTACTGTGCCTCAAACTATCATTTTAAAAAACTTTCCAAGTCAAGAGGCCAAGCAGGAAACATAAGCGGGTGAAATGGAGAGTGTTGACCCCACAAAAAAGGAGCCTCTGCAACTTAGCTTCAGCCAGTTTTTGACAGGAAGGAGAGTAAGTCTGATATGCCAGTTTCTCTGCTTTCCTTCTTTTCGTTTTTTTGGGTTTTTTTTTTTTTGAGAGAGAAGCCAGAAAATTTTTTTTAAAAAAGCAAACTGATTTGTAACAGTAGATAATTGATTCAAAAATGTTAAATATATTGTAGACCAAAAAAAAAAAAGTCTGTCACTATATCCAGGCTTCATCTGCCACTCCTGCCCTGATCCTGCCCACACACTGTTCTTGTGCCCACCAAACCAGAAGCCTCTCATAAGCAGAGCCCAGATCTGACTCATGCTAAGTCCCAGCATGGTCTAGGGATACAGGCTGAATGGGCCTTACACGTGCTGTTCCATAGAGGAGCATTTCTAGATTGCCTGGAATGTTCTCTTTCTCCTCTACTAGCAAATTTCTACCAAACTTGAAAAATACAAGGGTCTTTTGTCAACTCCTTGTCAGCAGAGCAGAGTCATCCCTCCTTCCTTGGACTCCCCAGCCCCTGGACTTCTTTCTCTTTCAGATGCCACAAGGGCTGAAACTGTGTTCACCACTGTACTGGGAGTCCCCTGGAGACACAACCTCAGTCTCACTCACTCTGGAGCCCCAGCATCACCACAGTCAAGCACAAAGTTGGTCTTAGTGGGTGGATCTGTTAGACTGACTGGAGGCCTCTGGGCCGAGGACGGTGACAAATTACAGTACCTTCTATTCCACTTTGGACCCAGAACTAAGCGCTAGGAAAAGCTGCTGCCCTGGGCCAGCCACTCACTAAAATTCAAGAGGACTGTGAAGAAGACACTTTATTGAAGTGATCAGAGTTGGAGATTCCTGCCCCCAACCTAGCCTCAGCCTGCTCAGTACAGTCTCATGGGTGGAAAGGACCAGGCCTCTGGGCTGCTCTGAGCCACCACCCAGGAGAGGCTGGGCAGTGGGGCTGGGGGGCTGGGGCTCCAGTCCAAGGCAGAGCTTCGGGGCAACAAGGGTGACGGTGGCTGGGGCAGGAGTTGTGGAGGGCCAACCCCCCAAGGCCGGGGAGGGGGAGGTGTGGCTACTAGCCAGATGCTTTTCAGTAGATCAAAGGCTGTTGGGGGGCCCCAGGCTGCCCCAGATGGCGAAGGCAACGAGGATAATGGGGGTGGCCAGGGACCTTTCGGTGGTGCCAAGCTCACTCGGTGCACAGCAGGAGTGCTGGAGGCAGGAGGCACGGCAAAGGTGAGCTCCTGCCGTCTCCTCTGCCTCCCCTCCTCTGGGGCCTGCTCAGGACTGTTGATGCAGGAAGGCGTCATTCTTTGTTTCTTTGGGGCCCCAGGCTCGGTCCCTGGCACAGAGGAAAGAAGCATGAGGGACAGCTGAACAAGAGCAAATGAAAAGGGAGCTTAGGAGGCAGGAGATATGCTCACCTGGCAAGTGTGGCTGGCAGCCCCGGAGCACCAGAGTAAGGTCTGGCACACAGCCATGGCAGGCCTGTAAAGTGCCCACGATAGCATCCCTGGCCTCTTGAACTAGGTTCCTTCTAGGGAAGGCTTGTGGCAGAATCAGCTGGCATTGCAGCTCCCCCAGCAGCTGCTCCAAGTCAGGGAGTGGTGGGGGGTTGGGGGGGCCTGGGCCCGAGCCTCCAGGCACCTGGTTTTCCTTGCCCCTTGACTTCAGGGATGGTTTCTGGCCCCTGCCTGGGCTTGGGGAGGACTTGGTGGTGAGTGCAGGGGTGCCTGACTCCAGAGACCCACTGCTAAGCAGCCGGGCCACATCCAGAGATTTCACCTCATGGTTGAAGAGACCCCGGTGGTCCCGGCTCAGGCGGCCCTGGGTTATGACCACGAGCTTGGCAGCAGTAGGGGCCACAGAATTCTGCAATACCATATGCGGATCCCGACAGGCCACAGGAGGATGCTGATAGGCCAATGGCCGCCGACTGCCCACCAGGGCCTCGTTACGCTCCCGCCTGGTCTTCCGACGGCGGACACGACCAGGCTTCTCAGGCTGCTGGAAAGGCTTGGGGGCTGGCTCCCCGGGATCCATGGTGCCCTGGAAGATAAAGACAGGGTAGTCATATGAGAAGAGATGGTTTGGGGTAAAGTTGGAGTACTATTTAGAGACTCAAAATGAGAGCAATGGATTGGTAGAGAGCAACCGGAAAAGGTTTGGTCAGGGAAAGATGAGGGAAAAGGCAGAGTCATAGGGGCAGGATGGGGTCAAGGGAGTCACGCTGAATGGGAAGATCTGTCAGAAGATAAAGGGTGAAATGGAACAAGAAGGTGAGGAAATCCTTAAAAATGAGGGATGGGAAAGGGATCATGATACCGGAGGGATCTGGTGAACCAGATAGGGACTTTGGACAGAGGAGAAATCCAGGAGGAGAAGAGGTACTGGAGAACGCATAAAGTAGAGAGAGATGGTAGCAAGAGAAAGGCAGGAAAGAGAACAGAAGTTGGAGAGACAGCAAATCGGAAGGAAAGGGCAGCAGAGAAGCCATCAGGGCCCGGGGCCTGGTCATGGAAGCGGCGTAGACCTCAAGGCTGGGTGAGGCAGGTGAGGTAGAGATGGGGGTAGAGTTGGTGAGGGTAGGGCGGAGGAAGGGCAGCTCACCTTCTCCTATCCCCAACGAACCCCGCCCCGCCCTGCCACTCCACGTGGCTGTGGGGGACAATGTCTTCTTTTCCGGTGACCCCAGCTCTCTCGATGCGCCCGCCTGGCGCTCTTCCGGGCCTCACACAAGGCCTCCACACGCACGTAGGCACGCATGCGCGAGCCCCTCCCACACCCTTTGGCATCCAGTTCCGGAGAGGCACAGGCCCAGAGGCACGTGCTAGCTGCCCGCGGTGCCGGTTATAGTCCCGCCCCTCCCAGCCTCACTTTCAGAAATCTCTCTCATTTGTCCTAAGCACCTTCTATCCACCTTCTATCTACCAATTGGCCTAGGTCCACTAGGCCCGCCCCCTTCCCCAATGATGGTTGGTTTAGACATCTGTTGGCGGACTTTCTCTGTAGAGCGGCAAGGTGCAGCGAAGCCAAGGGGGAGAAGGGCCATAGCAGCCTGTATATACAGCCAGCCCCCACGCAGTCAACAGGGTTTATCCCTAGGGAATCAATATAGTGTCGTCATTTGGAGCTAGGCTTCAGAACCACACTACCTAGGTTCCTATGCCCAGACTGGCACATTTGAACTCTGTGATCTTGGGAAAGTATGCAACTTGCTCAGAGCTTCAGTTTCCTAATCTGTAAAATGGAGTTGATATATTCTCCTTCTTATAACTGCTGTAAGTATGAGGTGTGCCAGCATCCAATTTGAAACAGCGCTTGTTGAATGGATGCCTCTAAACTTTCCCACTACACTTATCCTCCTCAGTACCCACCCTCCCCGCATCTGGAGTCCTAACCACTAGTCCACCAGTGAACTGCCCCCTCAGACTCTCAAAGCGAGCTATACCAGGGTTTTCCCCATACTCTAATAAAGCTATATTGTGTATTACCTGGTAATATTGCTTGTCCAACCTTCACAATCTTACAAAGCCAAAAGCCTTAGGTACTACTTCTAAGAAATCCTTCACCCTCAGAGTCCATCTCTTTCTTCTCCCAAAAAGGTCCCCTATACATTTCTTAATCACACCCTTGATCCTTCCCTCAGTTGTGTGTCTGGAGTCTGCCTCCTCCAACATGGCTAGAAGAAGGTCAGAATCAGACCCACTCATTTAATACTCACTCAGCAAGTACTTATGAACAGCCACAGACAGTACTTGGTACTCTGAGTCAGGCCCTGTTCCAGGCAAGTGGATTGAGGCAACACATAACATAATAAAATAAAATGTATCTCTGTATCTCAGTATCAACCTTCCTAGAAGAAATGAATAACTATGAAGGTCTCATTTGGGAGTGGAGCTACAGAAACATGCTCAGGATTTTTAGGGGGTGGAACCCCGCCACCTGGTCCCCCAGAACAAGGAGATCTGGTAAGACTTGAGGTCTGAGATTAATTTGGGGCAGGAGATGGGGGGGGGGCGACTTTAGGCGACCTTGGCTATGGATGTAGGTTTCAGAGCCCAGACACACCCAACTGAAGTCGGTCAGCCAAAGGTTTAGGGAGGGGAGCGGAGGCCACAGATCTGTAAGGTGAGCTGCGCGGGAGGGGCACCGGGCTAGACTTGGCCCTTGCAGCATCTCTAATTTCCCTTATCTTTCTGCATCTTCTACTACCCTCTCTGCAGGGTCAGTGATGTCTATAATGCTAAGACATATAGTTTAGCTATTATGCCACAAAAACTGGTGGTTTTGAACAGGGGAGGGCCATGAGCACAGAGGCTCACTAAAGTCCCGGCACTGTCTTAAAGTGTCGCCTTACAGCTGAGCCTCTAATTTTCACATTTTGCCATCCTCCTTTTCTCTCCCCTACGTCTGAAGAAAATGGGTGCGTCCCTTCCTAGCCAGGTGCGTACGAGCCACCCCCTCAAGGGAATCCAGGAATGGACTCGTCCACTCACTCCCCCACCACCACGTGAATGAGGGACACACATACACCCCTACCCCCACCCCGGCCCCTCCCTACACTTCTCGCCCTACAGCAAATGGTTTCTTCCCCCAGGACTGGCGCTAGATTTTCCCCGCCTACTCTCGGCCTTTCAGGTATTTCGCTCCTCCCCGTGACGCCGGTAGGGTGGTTTCTCCCCCCCACGATATGCTGGATGGTCTCGCCTGCCCCCACGCCCCGCCCCCTCCCCCCCCTCCACGTTGCCCGGGTGGGCCAGCCGCAGCCGCCGCGGCCCGAGTGAGCGGCCGGAGCAGGAAGCGCCGGACGAGTCCACTGCGCGGCCGCCGTGGGGGAAGCGAGGGTTCCCAATTCCTTCTCCCCTCCTAAATGAAGGTTTCCGCCTCGGGAGAGGGGGCGGTGCCCGGGAATCCGTCGCGCCCTCCGCGGGAGTGCGGGCTTCGGACCGTCCATTGTTGCCTGAGGGGTAGGGGTGGGCGTGGCGGCGCCACCTCCTCCCGGAACACTCTCCCGCCGACCGCGCTCGCTCGTCCTGCAGGAGTGGAGGCGCCAAGATGAGTGGAGACGAGAACCCAGCCAGCAAGCCCACGCCGGTACAGGACGTGCAGGGCGACGGGCGCTGGATGTCCCTGGTGAGCGACCCCGCCCGCGATACTCCGAAGTCCGGGGCTGAAAACGGGGAGCGGGGGAGGCTCTTGGGAGAGCAGCTGGTTCGCGCCGCTCTCGCTAAGACGCTGGGAAACTGAGGGCAGTTCGGGTGGTGCTGCCTAAGGAAGCGGGGTGGGGCGGGCCCCGCAGCTTGCATGCCATTGACTCCCCTCCTTTGCGTCCCCAAAGCACCATCGGTTCGTAGCCGACAGCAAAGATAAGGAACCCGAAGTCGTCTTCATCGGTGACTCCTTGGTCCAGCTGATGCACCAGTGCGAGGTGAGGCCTGTACCTCTTCTCCTGCCCCACCCAGGCCTGTGCCCTCACTGACTCTCCTGGACCAGAGCCTGGGCCGGGCGGTGTGTGGGGTACTCAAAATACCCTCAGGTAGCACCAGAATTTCTGTATAATGTGCCACGTTCTACTGAGAAGGAAGTGTCCTGGCTTTGTGTCATATTGGGTTTGTGTATAGGGAGACTTAAAATGAGGCTTCTTGCAAGAAAATTGCCTACCATTAGGCTCTTTCTTTGCTTAAATCAGCGCACAGCCCTAATGGATTTCCACAAAGCTATAGTTTCTACAAAGTGAAGGTCAGTAGGTCTCTACTAAGGGAGCTCAATTATGCTACCTAGTCACTAAGAGATGTTAAACCATGGCTTTCCTCAAAGTGAGGCTCAACTGGAATGCTGTTGGTTTGATGCCTGGCTCAAGCAGAATGAGTTTTCGTTAAAGGAGTCTTGTTTCTGTGGGGATTCATGAAAGTGAGACTGTGATGGGTTTGTGTAAAGTGAGGTTTGACCATATTGGGGTTTGCTTAAGGTGAGATTTAACCAGACTGCTTTCATAAAGCAAAGCTCTAACATGACATTGGGTTAACCTTTGGATAGAGAGCGGTGGTCCATGCTGACGATGCCCCTGTGCCCACACCACTTCTTGCCCACAGATCTGGCGGGAGCTCTTTTCCCCTCTGCACGCACTCAACTTTGGCATCGGCGGTGACAGCACACAGCATGTACTGTGGCGTCTGGAGAATGGGGAGCTGGAACACATCCGGCCCAAGGTGAGCAGGGCTTGGGTGGGCAGCCAGAGCCCCCTCAGCCTGCCCCCCTCACCACTGCTACATCCTCTCTTTCCACAGATTGTGGTGGTCTGGGTGGGTACCAACAACCACGGGCACACCGCAGAGCAGGTGACTGGGGGCATCAAGGCCATAGTGCAACTGGTGAACGAGCGGCAGCCCCAGGCGCGGGTCGTGGTGCTGGTGAGAGAGTGGGGAGGGCAGCGGGAGGAAGAATGGCTGTGGTCTGGAACCCCTTCAGGTGTAGCCACAGCTGCACGGTTCTGGGCAGTTCAGCTCAGAGCAGTGGCTTTCAGGCAAAATCTCATGTTGAAGCTTGCTGTGCCCATCAGAAGGGCTGTGGTGAAGGACATATTTGGGGGAAAATAGCCCCTTTTGCCCAAGGGACTGCTGGACACTTTGAAAGTGAAAATTGCTCAGTTGTGCCTGACTCTTTGCGACCTCATGGACTATACAGTCTGTGGAGTTCTCCAGGCCAGAATACTGGAGTGGGTAGCCTTTCCCTTCTCCAGGGGATCTTCCCAACCCAGAAATTGAACCGGGGTCTCCTGCATTGCAGGAGTATTCTTTACCAACTGAGCTGTCAGGGTGTTGAAAAACTCAAAACATTTAAATAGCCAAGAGTGGTCAGACATTGCCAAGGTGAAGCTAGTTTCCATTACTTCTAGAAGGTTCCACTTCTAGAATGAGGTGTCAGGACCATAGTTTGAAATCTATGTTTCCAAAACCCCCATTTTCCCATCCCTAGTGTATTCTGGAGCTTAGGACTTCCTGATGGGGGACAGAAATCTGGCACAGGGGAACAGGACACACAGATGCTGGTAGGACACCTCCTCACAACTCCTTGTGCCTTCCTCAGGGCCTGCTTCCTCGGGGCCAGCACCCCAACCCACTTCGAGAGAAAAACCGACGGGTGAATGAGCTGGTACGGGCAGCACTGGCCGGCCACCCTCGGGCCCACTTCCTGGACGCAGACCCTGGTTTTGTGCACTCAGATGGCACCATCAGCCACCATGACATGTACGATTACCTGCACCTGAGCCGTCTGGGGTACACACCTGTTTGCCGGGCCTTGCACTCCTTGCTTCTGCGTCTGCTAACCCAAGACCAGGGACAGGGTGGTGCACCCCTGCCAGAACCCAGCCCCTAAGCATCTGCCTTCCTACAATATTAAATTTTCATTTTTCAGTCTCCCATTTTCTGCTTTATGGCCAAGCCCATGTGGGTATCTAACGCCGACATCTATGACCCTGCAGCTCTGCCATCACAGTAGTGCTCCAAGCAGGCACTGCCAGTCAACCCACTAGGGTGAAACTGGTTTGCTAACATGACCCTGTAGCATCAAGGTCAAGCGAGAATTCTGGGTGACCCAGCAATCAAAGCCCACCCACTGCTGCACTCCAATCTGTCTGAGCTTACCTGTGACTTCTGCGAAAGCTTTCTGACCTTCCCACCCCTGGCAGTCAGCCCTCTACACAGTGTATGGGTATTTATCTCCCCAGAGAAGCACTGTCCAAGGCTGTGTGATAGCGTCGGAAACCAGGAGAGGATTCCTCTGCCTGGGCTGCAGTGCTGGCTCAGGCCACACAGGGGCAGCAGGGGTCACTGGGGACGGGGCAGTGCTCTGATCCCACTGGCCTCCCCACCCAGTGCCTGCCCTGCTTCAGACCTTGAGTTCAACTGACACATGAGGGGTGAACTGCCCTTCTCACAGCAGGTCACACGCCTTCCCCAACCATGCCTGCCGAATGGCTGAGTAGGCATGACTCTGCCCACCAGGTCCCGCTGATGTAGGGGATGGTCCTGGGATGGCAGCCCACTCCTCACAGTGGTTAGGGGCAAAGCCTGTAACCCCATGGCCATCTGGGGGCCAGACTGGTATGACCCACATCCCTTCTCCCTTGAGAGCTGGCAGCCACACAGGTGTGTTAAACAGCTTTAATCTCATCATTGCGTCTTCTCAGCACAGTAAGAAATATTGCACATGATCAACATGTTTTGTTCTGGGGATGGGGACAAGGGTGGGGGAATCACCTTCTTAGAAAGTACAACCCAAGTTGGGAGGGCAGAGGGGGTGGGGAGAGAACCCTCCCCATGCC